TCATCGTCTCGTACTCGCAAAGATACGCCTCAACAAGAGAATATTTAAAGGATGAATTCACGATGAAAAATCAACTCATTCAAATTAACCTAGGGTTGGTGAGTGGTACACGAAAGAGGGAAGAACCATGTGAAACGGCCCAGAACCCGAAAAAGTACCCCTCCCTTGCCCGTTGATTTGAGCATTGATGCGACTCTCGTCGCTGTGCCCTCTTCAACACTACGCTCTCTCAGCTATCTAATCAACCATTTCAAATTAACCTAGGTCAGACGATCGGTAGGCGGAGATCGCCGGACTCGCCAGCTTTGAGACATTAAGGTCCCGGGGTCAAAAACTTTCCAATGCGAATTGCGGCTCAGTTGCGCGGGGCGCCCGGCGCCGCGGCCACCGGCGGCGCGCGGGCGCCGCCCGGCGCGCCGCGGCCCGCGCGCCCGGCCCCTCCGAAGGTCCGTGGGTTCTTCAACTAGATGCAGTTCGGCCATTCCTTCGCCTTCATTCTCCCACAATTCCCGCCTTTAAAGGACGAATTTAACGATGGAAAAGCAACTCCATTTTGCAAATCGCAGGTAGAGATGGGAGTAGTACGCAGAGAAAGCGAAACCACGAAAAACGAGCCGCAGAAACCGGAGGAAATGGGACCTTCCTGTCTCGTTGATTTGAGCATTGAATGGGCTCTCATCGGCTTTGCCCTCTCACCCTACGACTCTCTCAGCTCTCTAAATCACTGCCACCTATTGTATTGCGGCGAGTGATCAAGACGATCGGTGGGCGGAGATCGCGAACTCGCCGCTTTGAGCCCGTAGATCTCAAAGGTCTAAATCTTATGCGAATTGCGTGTCTGTCCGACCCTCAAGAGATTCACCGCTTTCCCCACTAGACGATTTCTCCCTTCTTCGACCTTCGTTCTTTCCGTGCAATCCTCCTTTAAGCGCGACACACATAGGCCCACACCCTTCAGGATCCCTTCGTTCAATACCAATGTACTAGAGTCCGCAGTCGAAGCTTACAGTTGAAGCCTACTGGATGACCCTACGGAAGATTATGAACATCTTGCCAAAGGCTTGCTAAATTGTGCAGATATCTCTCGACACTTACAATCAGACTCTGTCCCAAGTCTGAATGTACTTGCTATCACACTCTTGGAAAAACGCAAGGCTATGAAGCAGGATCTCACCGCCATCACTTGGAAAAATTCGATTCAAAAACAAAGCGTGACGCATAGCAGTTAAGGAATCGCTTTGAATATATAGAAGAACAAAATTATTGAAAGCAGCGGAAACAAAAACTAGCATCAAGCGCTGCAAGCGTGATCTAACCGATCAAAAAGCCTTGATGTCAGCCCTCATAGACAAAGAGAAAATGAATATGGGAGAATACAAATATCAAGAAGGTCAATGGAGAGCATCGCCTATGATTTCTATACACTGAACTCTTCCGTTCTTCAACAATCGTCCCAAGATGCTCGATACCGCTTGCGGAGGACCCTCCTGCTATCCTGGAATCGGAAGTGGCGAGCGCGATAAAGGGCATGAGGAAAGGAACTCCCCCAGGTCTGGACCATATACCAGCAGATCTTCGTGTTGGAAATACCGCCTTACACACTCTTTTTGCAAGACACTTCAACCATTATGTCAAAATAAAGAAGATTCCAGAGCAGTGGAAGGGATCAAAAACAGTTCTCCTATTCAAGAAAGGACAGCGTGAAGACATCACTAACTATCAATAGATCTTCACTCGGTGATTTACAAAACATTCACGAAAATACTGCTCAATCGCATGGAATGCACTTTAGATGAATACCAACCAGTGGAGCAGGCCGGATTTAGAAAGAACTTTTCATGCATGGATAACATACAAGCAGTACCCAACTCATGGAAAGGAGTCACGAGTATCACCTTCCCATTGGTTCTTGTTTTCGTGGAACAAGAAGGCATTCGACTTAGTCGAAGTCAACGCTGTTATGAATGCTCTTACGCAAGCCGGAGTTCTCCCTGCATATATCCATTCGCTCGAACAATGTTTTACGAATACATCAACAAACATCCAGCTATTCGACCGCAAGATGAAAA